TGTGTGTGTGTGTGTGTGTGTGCTGTTTCCCCTTGGCAGGAATCTGACTCCCGCGTGATCTGTTGCTCGTCCTTTCCATGGAAAGTTGCACAAGGCCAACCACGGCCTTGGAGACTTAAAAAGAGTTTTTTTTTTTTTTTGTCTGCTTGAAGCCCTTGACGAGAGTGGGTCAGGGAGAGTATTTGAGATTAAGAAGGAGATGGGATTGACTCAGGTTCTGAACTTGTGAATCTTCTCTCCCTATCTTGTGGCGTTCATGTCTTCTGTCAGCATGAAGAAGAAGGATTCTGAGGCAGTGAAGAAGCACTTCGAAGACGTGTGTGTCACTGGACAGCCCGATAAGGGAAACAAGAGAAGAGTGTGCTTATATTGTGGGATCGAGAGGGGTGGCACYGCCACAAGGCTGAGGGAACATTTTTTGAAAGGGAAATGTCATGTAAGCAGGTTGAGAGGGACCATAACGAGCGAGGAGATGCRGAGGAGGGAGAGAATGAGGGATGCTGCAATCATAGAACTCGGGGGGGTGGTTCACGGTGCTGACGGAGGACGGAACAGTTCTTCGGAAGGGGACGAGCTTRCCCAGGATGATGACACGCCTGCACCCRTTGCCRCCRCTGCTGGTCCTTCTAAACTGCGGCAGACAAAAATCATCGATAGCGCAGCGGTGGTGACGGCGAACGAGGAAGTCCAGCGCTCCATAGATGATTGGATGACARCAGAATGCATCCCATTCAACATGATGYGGAGCCGGTATTGGGACAGGATGGTTCAGAAGCTGAAGAATGCGCCTCCCTCGTTCCAATATGCCAAGTACGACAAAGCAAGGACTGAAAGAGTTGACGTCACGCGAACGAGGGTGTCCGCGCGGGTTGACCGGCTGAAGCAAGAGTGGCCCACCACCGSCTGTATGCTTCAACTTGATGGGTGGACTGATAGGCGGTSAAGATCACACMTGAATGTCATGGTTTCGTTCCCGAAAGGCGCCATCTTCTGGCGCAGTGTGTGCATGCAGCGGCGTGATAAAGGCGCAGCAGCGTACTTCGCAATTCTATCGAGGGCTATCCGCGAGGTGTGGGAGGACGCAGTGGTAGGGGTTGTTATGGACAATGCGGCTGTGTGCGCAGCTGCTGGCTGGATGGTAGAGTCAGAGTTCGAACATATTATTTTCGTGCCATGCACAATGCACAACATTGATTTAATGTTCGAGGCGTTCGGCAAGATCGGCTGGGTGGATGTGTTGCTTAAGAGAGCGGTAGAAGTCACAAAGTTCTTCATGAACCACTCGAAAGTGCGTGACTTGCTGCTGGTGTACTCCGAAGGAGATGATCTTTTGAGGCCGGGTGCAACCCGGTTTGCTACAAACTTCATCATGTTGGAAAGTCTCCAAAAATTGTACCTACCGCTACGGTCGTGCATCACGGATGACGATTGGAAGGAGACCATTGTCCTCCCCTCACAGCGCCGGTTGTTTCACACTTCGACGAACGAGGTGGTCGATAACGGGTCTTGGGCTGGTGTGCAAAAGGTGAAGGAGACATCCAACGATTTGCTGCCCCCGTTGAAGTTTACAGATGGTGCAGGACCTAGGATCAGAGAAGTGTATGGTCGGATGAACGAGGCAGTGGAGAATTTGAGGAAGAATTAATTCCTCTCGGAGATGGAGAAAGATGAACTGGAGGAAATCATTATGCGCAGGTGGAACACGATGACATCTCCACTTCATTGTGCGGCAATGTTTCTGGACCCGGAGTTCTGAACCGCGAGATTGGACAAGGATACGGAGGTGATGGATGGATTCTGGACGTGGATGTACTCATGGGCGAAGCCAGAGTCATACAAGGTGTTGGACGAGGAGGTGAACAATTGGATTGAGGGAACAGGGAAGTTTAACTCCGAGGAGGCGGTTGCAAGTGCACGTGGTGCCCAGCCTGTGAGGTGGTGGAGGAGATGGTGCGCCGAATTACCCACCCTGCAGCGGCAAGCAATTAGTTTGTTGGGACAAGGGACCTCTGCATCCAGTTGTGAGAGGAACTGGAGCCTCTTCGAGAAGATACACTCCAGACTGCACAACAAGTTGGGTGCTGGCCAGCTAAGCAAGCTCGTGTACAATAGATGGAACCAGTTCCTCTTGGACAGCTTGGAGGGCAAGTCCAACGGAGTTGACGACGAGCTTGCATGGGGGAAGGAGAGAAAGCTCACAAGAAAAGAATTGTGCAAAGAGGCGAAGGCCCGAGTGGAGGAGTGGAGAGCCAGGTTGCATCGCGACTTGGAGGAGGAGGAGGAGTCAGATGATGATGACACCGACGACGACAGTGATCCAGACTGTAGGAGCGATGATGGCAATGATGTTGATGATGAAGGGCGGCACCATGGACACATGTCACAACAGCGAGCTTCGTCGAACTTGTTGGAGCTTGAAAGGGTCATCAATGCGGAGCAGCAGTCTTGGAGGAAGTGCACACCACCCTCCAAGAATCTAGCTCGCCTTCATCTGGCTGCGTCTCAGCGTGGTGTGAAGAACATCACAGACGAAACTGCTGAGAAGTACACGAGCGCCCAGGCCCGTGCATGCGCTCCGCTTGCAAAGCCTCCAAGCAAGAGAGGGTCAGGGCGACCGCGAAAGGTGCAGCGGGCAAACAACACACCGGGAGATGAGGAGGAGGGGGTTGAAGGTGTAGAATCTGTAGATCCTGCAGAAGCATCCAAGCGTGCATCCGCATCCACGCACCCGAGTGATGCGGATGCAGAGGAGAAGGAGAAAAGTGCAGATTCGTCCACTGACTGTGCTTCGGAATCAGAGCCACTGGCCAAAAGGTCAAAAGGCATAGGCCAATAGGCGCAGAGCGCCACACACACACACACACACACACACACACACACACACACACACACACACACACAGAGAGAGAGAGAGAGAATGTCATGAAGGTCACGCACGTTGAACTTTGGTCTTCCAAGTTTGGAGTTCCGAGTTGAACTTCTCCTTTTTCAAATACATTTTTGCTAAGTTAATCATACTTATTATAATTGGTTCCCCTCTTTGATGTGAACATGCATTATTGTTTAACCTGCGTGTTGTCACTATTGTGTGATTGTCAAAGTTTTTTCTCTTTTTCATGAAGAGCACATGCGGGGTTGGTCGGACATGGCCTTCAGGTAAGTGACAGCAGCGCCTATACCCCCTGTTCCTTACTTCCTGCCAGTTCTGTTTTTTTTTTTTTTTTTTTTATG